TTCCCAAATATTGGTTTTAATAATTAACTATTATTTATAGAATTGTTATTATTAATTAAACTATATGTTGAAAAACAATTCCAGAAGGCAAGCTTTTCAATAAGACTAGCTTGGAGGAATGTAATATAAATTTTTATTTTAATTAAAATTGATTTTTTAATTTTAATCGTCTGTTTCCAAAATAATTATTGCGAAAATGTGGTACGATAATGTACGAATTTATAAAAAACACAATGGTTATAAAATGGTGACGTGTGTAATTAGCATTGGGATTTCGGAAACCTCTGCTTTTAAATTTAAACAATTTATTTTATATTAAATATTTAATTTATTTTTATTTTTTGTATGTTTCATATTTAAATTTATTCAAAGTTCTTTTGAATATCAAATCCACATTTTCAATGCTAAAAACACAAAAGAAAGAATTCAACGTACTTTTTGTTGGCGAAGGCGCATCAGGAAAAACACAAGTTGTCAGTTGTTTAAATGGTAATGCTTATATTGAGGAGTATAACCCAACCATAGAAGATATTTATCATCTTCCAATCAACGACCATTTTTATATAAAAATAACTGATGTAGCCGGGCAACTTGAGTACACTGTATTGGTCGAACAGTATTATGAAACGACTGATTGTATTTTCATTTGTTTTTCAATTAATGACTGGAACCAATTTGAGCGGACAAAGACGTGGTGGTACGACGAAATTAGAAAGAAAAGTTTGACAGTCCCTGTTTTTTTAGTTGGTACCAAAGCAGATTTGAAAGAAAATGAATATGAGAAAAATTACTTAAAGAGTGTGGGAAAAAAGTTTGTGTCCTCCAAAGACGCGATTAATATGGCAATGGAAATAGGTGCTTTGGGGTATGTCGAATGCTCTGCAAAATTCAACGTGGGTATTAATTTTCTTTTTGAAAAACTGAAAAAGATCGCAAATGATAAAATGGCAGTCAACAACTAGAATGCAATTTAAATAGATGATATATTTGAAGAGAATTAATTATTATTATGTTGTGTTCGATAATTTAATAATCATTATTTATTTCGAAGTTATTTGATTAAACATTTTAAAAAAACTGGTGTTCAGCCGGTATAAAAAACCATTTCATATCTTTTTATAGTTTTAACTAACAACATTATAATAAAAAAGTATAAAATAAATTACCACATCAAACAGTAAAAGTCTTCAAGGGGTATATTGAACCTTCAAAGTAAACAGTACTAGACATTATATTATATTAATATTATTTAAATCTTTAAAAGCAAGTGGAAGCAGTTAAAGAGACATAAGCTGTTTTTATTATCTCACTGTATAATTTAAAATATTGGTTCATATTCAAATTATAATAATTTTTATAATTGTAACATTTTGATGTGAAGTTTAAATTTATAACAACTAAAACATTAATGTTGTTATAAATAATAATAAGCAATAATTACTTATAAAATTTTAAAGTTTCTGAATTCAGCATTAAAAGTATATTCAGCAGTTGAAGTAGTTACTCCAATCCATTTTTGTCCTTTTAACACTTTGTCTATCATATCAGTCCAAAATGTATATATTTGGCTTTGTCCATCGACACTAATAGAAGAAGTAACGCCATTAAAATCCACTTCAAAATCATGCCAGTCATCATACCAACATTGTGGGTATTTCTTTTTTTTCATGACATCCACATTTCACGTTATTTATTACATCTCCTCCAACCATTTTCAAAAAAGAATCAAATTCGTTGTCTGAATTCGTCCCAACAAAAAACTGATAAGCTATGCCATTCTTGATACCTTTAAATCCACATCCTTCACCAACTTCCCCAAGAGCTTCGTTTGAATCTTTTTGAATGACAATACCAAATTGTGAGGTAGATTGACTACTTATTTTGGCTTGAAAAGTAAATGTAACTGGTCCATCTTTGAGGTCAAACCAAACAGCAGAAGCCTTATTTGGAGTGTTATTGTCAGCCAACGCTAAAACATTTATATTATTTGGAGCAAAGTCACAATTAACTTTATGTATGTTGTTGGGTATAGTGTTGATAGTCTGTTTCACATTGGAAATGTTAGAATTGTACTGTTGTTGGTTGCCATCTGCATCTTCTTTGCAGATTTCAAGACATTTTAAGAATTCTCCAACATTAATTGACATTATTACGTTTAAGTTTTTTATCGAATCCTTTTATACTTTTTAATTACACATATTTTGAAAAGGTACAATATTTTATTTTTGGTGTTATTTCAAAACTAAATAATTATTCAAATAATATTATAATTGGTAATTGTTTTATATTTGAACTACACATTTTAAAATATCTAAATATTGTTATTTTAAAAAACGTTTATTTTAATTGCAAATTATTTTAATTTTAATGTTTTCAACTAATTATGGTTGTTTTAAAAGTTTAATATTATACATGTAAATGGTTAATTAATATAATTTTGCCAAAATTAAAACACAAACATTTTATTTATATTGTGTAGTTTTACGAAGAATGAAGTTGATTGATACGTAATAATATCAACGTAATGATATTACAACTAATTACAACTTAAAAATAAATTGTCTCTGTAATATCTAAAGTGCACAAGAATGTATTCTTAAACTGAACAGTTTAATTATTAAATATAGTAAAATTTTAATAACAAAACTATTCAAAAAATTCAAATATTTTACCAATAAAATTAATTATTAAACGAGTTGAATACTCATTGGGTTTTGGTTTTCTTGGACTTGTTGTTGTTGCTGTTGTAACTTTTGAACGCACAATTTGACAAAGAGAAATCCCACCACCAATACAATGATAACTTCCACTACCCCTGCGACAATTCCGATAACGAGAATGACCAAAACAGCTGCTCCTCCATAGTCTCTTGATTTTTCACACAAAAATGATTCTGGTAAAATACCAATCGGTTCGATGAAAGTAAATACAATCATAACTACAAGTGCCAATACAGAGATGAGTACATAAATTGCAGCTTCTTTTGTTGTGATTCTTTTACACAGAAGTCTGATTGCAAAAGTGAAGTATATAAATGGAAATATAAGAAAGATTAAACAAGCAGTTATAAATAGTCCCATTGTTCGTGTGTTACAATCAAAATCTTCGAATGATTCAAAAAAGACCATAACTGGTAAATATATCGTTGCAAAGAAATATACCTGTTTGTTATTTAATTTTTATTTTTAAGACTGCAAATAACTTATGAAATTACTATTATAAACTTGTTCAAAATCATCATTTCATTATTTTCAATTTACTTGAAATTTAAAATATTAAAAAATTGAAAGATAAAATGTTTGAAAAACATGAATAAAAAACAAAATGAAAAGACAAGCGACAAATAACAAATACAAACTGAATAAATGACACCTAAGAGAATAAATACTCCAGATATAATTGAACGAATAACTTGAACGGTTATCGGTTGCATCAAGTAAGTTGTGTATAATGATTATTGTCGATCCGTTTTTATAAGAGAATGGCATATTTTGTGACATATTCAAACTGAATGAAGTTTCTAATTTAAGATGTTTCACAACTAAAATTATTGGTTAAATAATATCGGAAATAACAATTCTATAACCATATAAAAATGATGTACAATTAATTTGAACAAAAGAATAATATTATTTATGTTTATTTATATTCCGATATATTTCTATGTTGTGAAGGTTCTAAAAATATATCAATTTTTTTAATTGTTTTGATTTTTTAGTTGTTATTGTTATAATATAACATTTTTTCATACTTTTTAGAATCATCTACTATTGGTTTAAAAAAATAATAAAGAAGTATTAATTGTGTTGATTTGTTAGTAACTGTAAAATTGAGAATTTATTGAAATAAAGATTTTTAATTTAATAGTTTCAAATTATTTGAAAAATCTATATTTATTTACTATAAAAATTTAAGACTTTGATAGTTTTTTTGTTTAATAAAAATATGACATATTTAACTTGGAAATTATTATAAAAATAAATAATATTTTTATTAAACTAAAAACTATTTAGCTTTCAAAGACTTATAGTATAAATATAGTATTTTCAAAGAAATATAAAGTTATAAAAGATATTTAGAATTATCAAATCCTATTTCAATCAATTCTCAATCATATTTGATTCAAAGTTGATAATTTTTCATTATATTTTATTTTAATTTTGTATGGAAGATATTTTACCTTTGGGAAACATTAGAAATTTATATTTATTGTTTTGGATATCGACGCCGATCATTTTAATTATCAAAATAAATAATCAAAAGATACAAATTAAAGTTATGAATATACATCTATTACATATTAACTAACAATAAAAAAAATTTAATTATAAACAAATTGTTATAATTTTAATAATAATTGTTTACGTTATTGTTTTTGTATTAATTATAATAAAATTACTATTTTTATTCGACGTGAATAACATTATTGAAAAAATAAATAATTTGTCAATCCCGACAATTCTTTATTGAATTCAATTCAAAGTTTGTAGTTCAATGAATTTTTGGAGCAAAATATATTTTGATTTCTCAACAAAACAATTTTATTCTAAAAATATAAAAAATAATCAAAATACTTTTTTAATAACTTTATTTATTAGAATTAAACTATTTGGAAAAACAATTTCAGTTCATTCTTAACTTTGAAAAAATAGGTAGTTTTGTTTATTAACCACCAAAATCTTAATAAATATTAATGTATATACATTTCTGTGTGTTGCTCTTGTTGATTAATTATTCGTATTCACAACCAACGTCTTTTCTACAGATAATATGAAAGTGAAAGCAGCAGTTTTGAGTTT